ATACAGCAGTAAATAATTAATGGTTTTAGGATAAGATGGATGTGATGCTTGCTTAATGAATGTTCATACCATTGTCGAGGAACATGAAAAAATATCAAAGAAATTGGTATCAAAATATTTTATGCAGTCAAATTTTTAAACGATGTTTGTTTTACTTTTTATTGGTTGAGTGAGTCTATTGTGTGCGGTTTTCATGTAAAAAAAAAACTATTATTAAACTATAAATTATAGTCTGGTATCGTGAAACATGCTGCAATTGTCTTTATTTCAAGAAAACATTTAAAGAAAATAAATCAGGCTTTTTATTACACAGAACCTCATCAAGAACACAAACAATATATAGCAGATATACTCTACGTTTACTAATAAACAATGTATACATTTGTATGGAACGAAATAAGTGTATCGTCTCTATAACAATGCTTTACATTTATAGTCAATATATTTTATTTTATTTTAACAATGGTAAATTAATTACACCTATCATGATAACAAGAAGGATCCGGACACAACCAAAATGATAACGTTTGTTTATGACGTATTATATGTTAAATTATTTGTATATGGTATATTTTATAGCTATACAAAGTACTCCTCTATACAACATGTTATTGCAATGGAAGGAATCCTATCTGAGTAATCACAACCAGAATAAATCATTTTGGTTTAATTGGTTTGGTTAATTTTGTTTAACGTCCTATTAACAGCTTATGTCATTTAAGGACGTGCCTCCATGTGTGTAGTGTATGCGTGCTAGCATGTATGTATGCTGGAGACAGGGTATGTTGGTTTTATTGCCTCCTTGTGATAGCGCGGATCTGATGCCGACTTTATAGTGCTATCTTACTGAAATGCCATACCGAAGAATCCAGCACAGCATTCCGCCTGTCACATTGTACTGACAACAGGTTAACCAGTTGTTGCCATTCCCCTTAATGCTGAACGTTAAGCAGGGAATAACAACTACAATTTTAAAGGACTTTGGTATGTCTCGGCCTAGGGACAGAAATTAATAACATTCAGTAATACGTTGTTACACAATGCATTGCTATATTTCCTAGATTCGATGTATGTGTTTAAGGCCAAGTAGAACATTTGACAACGTCAGTTCACAAAATCGAAACTCAAAGCCGAAATGATAATAAAGATGTGACAGTAGAATTTAAGAAGACACCGAAACGAAATGAAAACATCATGATTTTGATAAACCTAAACGGACGGAGGAAATGTGTGTTTCTCGACTAGTGTGAACATGCACAAGGAAGTTTGAAATTTATGCTTCGTCTGGTGTTGTGATTTGATAAAAACAAGACGAACTACACGTGATATATGGTAAAAAAAATCTTTATTGATTGGTTTATTGAACTTCTTTTTTCACTATTGAAATCAAATTCTAGATCGATATAAGAAGAGAGCATGTCAGTTCAACCAATACAACATTTAGTTGGTTCCTTTGTACCATAACGAAGATTGTAGTCTATCACATTTATTAAATTTATACAGACGCGAAATAAAGACGAACATATCTTAGCAACTGACAAAGATGACTGATTGCCATGAAAATGTTACGAGGCAAAACGATTCATTGCTATGTGGTAAATGGATACAATGGGAGAGGGGAGACAACTCTTGAAACGTTATACAAAATTTTCTATCACCATTACATTTTCGCGACAAACACTGCTTTTATTTGATTTTAATCAAAAATTAATAATAAAATACCGTAGTTTCTTCTCAAAAGGACAAAATCAACACAACAGAGTCAACACAGGAGAACAAATTAAATATATACATAGAGTCAGCACACAAGGACAAAGTAGATTACCCCAGCGTCAACACATAAGACAAGTCTATAACTAAAACTATTGTAAAATGCAGGTCTTCACGTTTGTCACGTAATTCGGCAATGCGTTGACCATTGTTTACATACTGACGTTAAATGTAGATATAAAGTCGACGATGAAAAACTGCGCGTTAACATTAAATAAAAGCAAGGTCTCCGATTATGAAATGAAGTGATCGCATAGGCATTTGCTTGAATGAGTTCAATCGCAAAGGAATGCAAAGATTGATTAGCTAGAAATTGTGCACAATTCCAATAGAATATTGATAGCATGTGTACAATTCTTCCAGACAATTAGTGGTAATAATATCAGAAAATAATTAATCTGCAGACAATATCATCCTTCTCGCAAGCAGTTTTTCTTTTTCAATTGAAAGCAGTTTTGGAAAACAAGTTTAATTTCTAATTACAACAGGTAATTCATATCTGCTTCTGCTAGATTTAGACAGAAAAGACGAATGCAGTGAAGATTTATTATTATTATTATTATTAAGTTTATTCAAACAAATGTAAATATTTATAAAACTAGATATAAGGAACTCTATGATTGTGACGTCAAGTTTCCCTTTATTGCAAAATGTTGGCCAACGTGGGGAAGGTAATGGGTTCTATCCCCAGGCATAGACATACCAAAGTCTTTTAAGATGATAGTTGTTTTTCACTACTTTACGTTCGGCATTTAAGGTTAACGTAACGAATAGTTTACCCGTTGTCAGTATAATATGTACCCGTGTGGAGTTCTGTGCTGGGTGCCGTAGGCATGATATTTTATTTCGGTATAGTCACCTTGAGTTCCATGTTATCGCAAGAAGACATATTATCAAAGTACCATTTCCAGCCCCCTTGTATACATTAGACATACTGTGTTATGTCATTTCAGGACCCTGCCTGTTAAACGAACCCTTTACATTTTAAACAGATACGCATGGGAAGATGTGTTAGTGATTGTAATATTTTTACTAGATAAGCTCTATATTTTTACCCTTGATAATAAACATATCGAAACTTAGTCGATGTATGGTTCGGTGTTACAGCAAAAAAACAAAATTGATTAAACTTTCACTTGGCTTAAGGATATACAACATCCTCATTTGAGATAAATACAGAAAGAGTGTACCCATAATAGCTCACTTCTATGTAAATACAGAATCTATGTAAATACAGAAAGAGTGTACCCATAATAGCTCACTTATATGTAAATACGTTAGAATTACCACTTAAACAAAATCCGTTATCAAATTCTAATATATTCAAGTATCTTGCAATTTTTGTTATTTATATTCGGAGAAAATATACGATAATACTAGTTGTCCTAACAAACTTATACGGTTCAGAAAACATCTGTAAATCGAGTGTTCATTGTATTTTCTGAGAATAGAAATCTAATCAGGAAAACAATCTATCTGTTGTGTAATAGAGCTGATGTCTATAATCGAACAGTGCATGCTTTTAAAGGTTAAAAAAAGTATCCAATACACTTTTAAAGCTAACAATGCGAGACAAAGACAATATCTGATTTATCCGCCTGTCACCAGGAAGGTTAACGTTGACACACTTGTCTGAAGTGTACCACGTGACTGACCGGCTCCACGTCAGACGTGGATATGACTAATGTTAACACTCCCATTGGAACACTTGAATGTAAACATTGTGAATTATGTAAAGTACACAGAATGCTGGCTTCACTTCACGTGAAAATGACAACCACGATTGCCCTAAAAGAAATGCATATCAATATACACATTATGATATAGTAACCACAACCACAACTATTCCTCTACATTGTATAGGGTCTTTAAAACTAATAATAAACGTGTGTTTAGTATGTTCGAGCCATGGCTATAGTTTCAACTATTTGCTAAAAACTTTCGAATACAAAAATACAGGTAAGAATACGCGCACCCGGATATGACTGGCATTCTTGTGTAATGAGGTAAGCATTATACAAATACTTGATTTTAGATTTCTATCGTTCTGTTGGTGTATCATTAAATACTGTCCATGTACGGATCATGCTACTGTCCGTGTGACCACGCGGCGAGACAAGTTTTAAATACAGTGAACACAGCTCTAGTTTCGATTCTATGTAGTTTAGTATATATTACACAAACAGTTCAAATACATATTCTGAATACCATGTACTTTTGATTGTATCAATAATTCATCACAACACCAGGTGTTTGAAAATGAACATAATAACATTATAATCAGATGATAACTTATCAAACTGTTGTTTATTTTTATACAAGTCCGCATTTTGCGTAACAAATGCTTTATTTCAAACTTTAAACATCATGTAATGCATTAAAAGCAGTAGATCATGGTTGTCTCATAGTCGCCCCGAGAACACAAGAACGCACCGGTTAACATTTCGCTAAACTCGCAAGGGTGAGTTCACATACAGATAGATAGCTCCAAAGACTCTTTGGCACGTTCCAGTGAGCATAGCTTGTTTTCACGACGATACCTGTAGTCAATTTTTGCTAGGAGAACAGCATCTTTCAGAAAAGTCGAAAACGGAATATCGGGATTCTCGAGCTCGTTATATACCGTCCAGCAAGTTTCACGTCGTTAGGGTCAGGCAGTGTGTTGTCCTTAACTGTATTGGGGCTGATACAACGGTATAGGTAAACGTGTCTTTGGGTAGATATCGTTCGTCAGTAAGTACTGGTATACGTAATAAGAGTCAGTAATAGAGAAATCGTGTGTTGTAAAAAAAAAAGGGCATTTGAACAGGCAGGTCTGTGAGCAGGTCAGTAACTTATATTTATCCTTTATCGGAATATGTTTCATATCGATATTTTTTCTATATTTTAGTTGATTAAAATGTACTTTAAATTTATGTAACGTTGTTGAGCTATATTTTCATCATTTAATGATACGGTACTATGACACTTCTCCATAACGTCAGTGACGTGCTAAATATTTCGCTGGTGTTTAGAATTCACGGTTTTAGTCGAAACGGGAATATAGCGAAAATATATATATATAAAAAGCCAAATATAGCCGCTATACAGTAAATCATAATTGTGTTTGTATTAGATGAACATACTACCAGCAATGTGTTTCTCCATATCCCGGTTGTCGAAAATATAGTGATATGTGTTGTTTGTAAGAGAAAAAAAATCAATAAAAAAATATTTTAGCAACGATTAAAAGCATTTCAAAAGTGTTTTATTTTTATGAAAGACTGTCTTTGATAATTGCCAAAAGATCCTTTGCATCTTTCTCTTGTTAACATAATAGTACCGCAGTTTCTTGCGTATTACCCGCTCATTTTTGTTCCGCGCACACCTGAAAAAAAATCATGTTTAGGAAAGAGAGTCTGCTGATTGCCCGCCCCCGCAGATTGCCCGCGGGTTACCTACTACATAAATATATCATACGTATTGGATATCAAGTTCACTTTCAATTTCATATACATGTATGCAACTCTCATCTCCCCTTCACTGTAGTTATGTAACAAAATTAGTGATCGATGCTTTCGATTTAGGTATATTTATAACTCGTTTTACTAAATATATCCTTGGTATACCAATAGCGTCATTCACTATTTTAATGTAAACAGTCATGGCGACTTTTAGTACTACCACGGACGATGTAAAACAGTGTCGATAATGTGAATGAATTGTCATGCTTACGTTGATGATACAATTTAAGAACTTCTATAATCTTGTTGTTCATTGCTTATAATTTTAAGACGGGTAATATTTTGGATTTGAAAGATATCACATAACCCGCATTGTTTACAGTTTTTTGATCGTCACATTTTTCAATGTTTAGAACCGTATAGCCTGCGGGAAATATGCAAAAAAATACGGTATCACTACGTTTATCAATCTATTTTGTCTTTGAGCATGTGCAAAAACATGCACTGGAGGTCCACATGCATTCTACTATGAACGGTAAATCACAGGTAATCAGTGTTATTATAGGATCATGGTATGGACGGAATAAATATCATGAATCAATATGTTCATAGCGAGTGCTATCCTAAAATACATACAGAAACATATATGACACTTAGAAAGGACACGTATAAGGCCTATGTATTGAACCTTTTTTTACATTTATGATGGTATGAAAAACAATTCCATTCAAACATATTCCATGTTGCGCGTGGAGAATACGTTTGAATGGAACTGTGTTTCATAGCATCATTAATAGTAAAAGAGATATATTTCAATTTTTATATTTACCAAAACCTTTGTAGTCCTATTTGGTTCTAAATACAGTTCAAATAAACTGTTTTACCAATTAGACATTTTTTCAGGATCAAGATCCTTCCCGTCCGGCGGCCATCCTCGATACTCCATGAAATATGACATAGCAAAACTGAAGGCACGCGTCTAGCTATTTGATTGGTCTCAGTTAAAAACAAAAACCTGACCAATCACTAGGCTGACAACTGTCTTTTGACGATTATAGAGGAGAAATTCTTGGCTTCAAAGCTACCGTTACGCGACCGACATATTCTTTTAATGTACATCTAAATAGTCGTTTTGTTCATCCACAAGGTGGTGCACACTGAGCCTTCCATTATGCTATGTCATAGTCCAGGGGTGCAGAGAGCGAAAGTGAGCGTAAGCCCTGGATTATCGAGGATGTCCGGCAGAGAACCTCAATCAGAAACCATTCAAGAACTGCAAACGGAAAGACCGGAAATAACCAGCTGTAAAAGTCCTTGCTGTTATTTAAGAACTGATCAAAGAATAATGGAAATATTGAATCATCAAATGGACGATGTCCTTACAAAACTCTTTTCTATGGTTGTTCATCCCTTCCATATACTAAGGCTTCCTTACAGACTATTCCCTGTACTGCATTTCGGCATCAATCTTTGTACGGAGTAAACGCACTCGATTTTGAGCCTGTTCCCTAAACTCTAAAATGTTTTTGTTTGTTATGAGAACGAATGCCTCTTCAGCGTATTCTAAAGCTCTGAGCAAGTTATTACGACGATATTGATAATCACTCTTTGCTAGAAGGAAAGGAACTTTTAAAAATGTGGTAATAGGAATATCCGAGTCTTCAAGTTGGTGCAGGTACCTTCCAGTAAGTTCAATTTCCTCACAACTAGGAGGCACGCTAATTTTATATAGACCCCTGTCCCCACACCGAAGTAACAATATGATCAGTCGACACAAAGCAAATCCGAATCCAAATGGCCCATCGTTTCCCTTTTCCCTTTTAAAATGATCCAATGATTTCTGACAGCTTTCCTTTGCTTGCTTGTGGAGATGTTCGTAAACTGACGGATAGTTTGATCTGTTCGCGTTTAGCATTGATATTTGAACCATGATATGTTTGACATCATTCATATACAACCAACCGGCGGCTCGCCCTGTACAACAGGTAGGGTCTGCCTCGATTATCATTTTGGCGTCATCTAATGTCCTTTGTAACTTTTCATACTTTTTCTTGATGCTAAACATCCGCGTTTGAGAGGTTAACAGTTCTAAAGTAAAATATTTTGGATTATTTGTTTTTTGTGCTAGTTGAAGTCCAGATTTTATATATCTATTTGCAGTCTTCACATCCGCTGCATGTAAGAATCTGCTGGCGAACAGATAGTCAAGAATACACATTACATCTGAAGCTTTTCCTTGCCTTTGGCGGATATTCACAGCGCACGACTCGAATTGTTCATATTGTCCTTGGTTGATTAATGTACTCAGAGAGTTGAAGACAATATCTTGACCTTTACTATGTGAATCGTACAACTGTGTTAAACTCCGACAATTCGTTGTATGAAACGGTTTGTATTCCGTAAGTTTAGGTGGAGGAATTCCAGTTTCTGGTCTTTTGTGTTTATTCCTTGTGACTTGCGTTCGACATATATTGTCCTCTTTGGAGGTATCCGAAAGCATTTGGCCCAAATCCCTGTCTTTCGATGGAACGTAATAGTTTGTATGAGAATTTGTTGCCTGACAACATCGATCATCAACAGTATTTGAATCATCGAAGTGGGATGTTGCCATAGACCCCAATTTGTCAATATTATAACAACCTTTTTCGATTACGTTTGTCAAGAAGTAAGTATCGACTTTAGGGATGGGAAGTGTTGACGTAGATTGCACTGCTTTATTGACTCGAAGACCCCTACGTATCACTTCACGGAGAATGGGATACGAACATCCTTCATTGATGGAGACGGATTCTCCAGAATGATCACGTCTTTCCGAATCCTCTTGATTTGTTTCCACTAGCTTGTTGGCTATGTAACCGTACTTTCTCCGCAGTGACTCTATAAAAAGAACGAAAACGTTATTGTCAAGGCACTTTGATAGTTCCCTTATTAAGGTAATGCATCTGTTCCTTCGGGTTTTTTCAGATTTTATGCATTCACAGTCGTTTCCTTCTAATATAGACTCTTGGTAGAGCAAATCTAATAAATCATTTGCTTCTACATTTTCAAATATCAAGCAACAATTTTGATGTATTGCTCGCCTTAAACTGGGGTCAGCAATGTAAGAAGGAATACAAGGCTGACATTTCAAACATATCCTATAATGAATTTCCTTCGTTGTTGAGCTACTGCTGATGTTGGTACAGCTATCAACACATTCATATGTATTCCTAGTACTTCCTGTTCCGTCAAGTAACAATATGTCAAGGTGTGAATAGCTTTGTTTTAAAGCATTCTTAAAGGAACTGTATGCAATCGGGCCACGAGTTGGAAGAATTCCAAGTAACTTTTGACATCGTTCCCTCCGGGTTGTTCCGGTGTTGATAAGTTCGTGGTCGCTCTCAGTTAATACTCCATCTTGTTGCAATTGATCGAACACATCGTTGGGATCCACCTCATCTACCAGAGCAACATGATTCCTCCTTAGGATGTCCTTTTGATTGTGGAGCATTATTATCTGACCTAAAATAAAGTGACAAATGTTAAATTTCCCTTGCCTTATTATTAAGGTGATTTAAAATATCAAAATTAAACAAAAATATTTGGACAGTATACATGTTAAATACAACAATCTGAACATATACAAACATATCATATTTTAGTATGATAATGAACTTTTAAATTGACACCTTTTCAAAAAGACAGGATGCATTGTAGCATATATCTTATAATTATTGGAAACTATAATTACGTATCCATGCTAAATATATCTAAATACAAGCGATTCAATGAAGTTCATGTCGCGATATACTTGAAAACTGACATACACATTTTGATGCTATATTTTCGTAGAGACGACATTCCATGTAACCTATATCATAATATACATGGGGAAATTTCATATACGTATACATGCTGAATTTCCATATAGACGAGTTTCAATGTTGTTTATCAATTTTTCTTATCACATGTCATCATGGACATTGACCACTCCATGGTGAATCAAACTACAAAAAGTGACCATATGCTACAATACGCATGGGATACTCTCATACCCTTAACCCTGGCCCGGATCTTCATATAGACGATATTCAATGTAATGTTTGTCATTATACACATAAGAAACTTTATAACCACATAACGGTGCTAAATTCATCCCCATACAGGCGATAGTTGATTATCTATATGGCATTATACACACACAAAATAACCCGTCATTTACCTTTCCATGGACTTCCTATAACATACACTTGGCTACTTGTTATGTCATACTATCTTACCTGGTGTAATTAGTCACTTTGATCTATGTTATGCATGAGTGATAATCTGCATTCATATCCTTTTCCTGATTCTAAGTTCTTTTATCATAAGACTTATCTTAATGCATTGATTAGTTTCGTTGATTATTATTAATAATAATAATTAGAATAGAGTACGGACAAGAATATCCGGAAGTCTATTTTTATATCAAAAAAGTGAATGCATACTAAGTTGTTAATATATATGTATGACGAATACTGATACTGAAAAAAAACAAAGTTTCTGTCAGAGAGCGATTTCTTATAGCTTTTCACATGAAAATAAATGAGATGTAATTAATGAGGTTTTTTTTAAATATAGCACTAATGTATTGTTTTATGTCTGCACTGAATGACATCAATTACAACTCAAGTGTTCCTTTGTTCACCTTCTTTAGTTACAAAATCTTGAGTAAATAATACAGGCGAAATTTTAGTATGTTATAACACACATGAGAAATACCATACACCTATATCGCTATATATATTCATTGAGACGGGATTCAAAGCAGCATATATTATAAAATACAGGAAAAACTATAATACACGTGTCCATGATGTATCTTCATATAGACGAGATGCATTGTTAAGCCTACTCTGACACATGTGGGAAACTATCATGTTGTTACATCCCATTACACTGGGTTAATCTTAACACTGGTAAGATTTGAGGTGAACTATGTTATATAACACAATATCAAAATGACAAACCTGCTCTTAGATCATATACACTTTATCACAAATCCGGCTATCCACGAGACACCTTCCTGTACGTTAGATACTCATCATAAATAATTGATATCCATTAGTACGCTGTTTAAACGCGAAAAGAGAAGGTGAAGGTTGAGTAGTTAGGTTTTTACAAATGAGTGTGGTTGGCCTACTTCCGCCAGCAAAACTTGTAAAGTTTCACTTACACATTACCACTACGTCCACATCAACACAATAGTTCGTCTCGGGCCACACTCTAGTGATAACGACATACCGGATGTTATTTAAACTATCTGCGTAGTTTTTACGACGGTTTATGTTGATGCCCTCGCTAAATATTTCAATAAAACGATTACGTAAGCATAGGCTTATTGTATTGATAGTTTTTTTCTAAACAAATTTCAATGTATGTTAACGTTTCTTTCCTTTCTCATTAACTCCTCGAATTACTTGTGATGTAGTTTCTTTAAATCATATATAAGCTCACAAAGGCATCACAAACATTTGTTAATCTTTGTAATATATTGTTTAAAAACGAATATGACATATGTTTGAACTATTTAGCCCTATCTTTCCAACACATACACTTCAGATGAACAACTCTGTAATGGGCATTGGGCTTTACGCTACACTTATTGTATAAATACAATACGTTAACAAGTAAAACTATGCAGGTAAGCATCCGCCTTATTGCGAATGGCAGGTAGACTTTAATTTAACATGATCAGCATATTGCCAAAAAATAACTAGATACATACAAATAGTTGTTCCAACTGCAAATATCGAGTTGTTATATAATAATAACTAGTTACCTTGATACCTGGTCATGCACGAATGATTGTTTATATTCACATCCTTTAACTTTAGTCGAGTTGTTATATAATAATTACTAGTCACCTTGATACCTGGTCATGCATGAATGATTGTTTATGTTCTCATCCTTTAAGTTTAGTCCAGATGTTATATAATAATAACTAGTCACCTTGATACCTGGTCATGCACGAATGATTGTTTATATTCACATCCTTTAACTTTAGTCTAACATTACTGCATAATTATGTTTGCATTAGGGAGCTATTTCTATTCGATTATTAAATCCCATCTTGTATATATTTACATGAAAAAAATAACGATATGCTCTAATGTAAAATCAATTCCTATGTAAATGTTTTGTTACAACTCATTCTTTAGTTACAAAATCTTGAACAAATATCCATCACAATAAAAATGTAAAATAAAAACACACATCTTAAAACCTAAATATGACAATTTTTAACTGGTTTCCATTACCCACATAAACACCGAGCGATTTCACTAAATGGAATATTCCGTCTTTGCGTATTGCAGAGTTATCTTCACTTGGGAGCAGGTATTGATTGTTACGTCATTGGTTTGTGCGAGAAAATTACGTCGTTTTCTCAAAAACTGATGACGCTACTGTCACAAACAAGTGACGTAACAATCAATACCTGCTCCCAAGAGAAGATAACTCTGCAATACGCAAAGACGGAATATTATACTTAATTAATACTTAACCCGAATCACTATTTTATCGACAGTGAGTCATGTCTTTGTACTGCCACAGTGTCAAGGTTTCTATCCATTGTTATCATTTCAATTGTACAATTAAAATGTAATAAGGAGGATCATATTTGACTTGTCCTAATGGTCATGATCAACTTGCTAGACATACGTAGCAGTACTGCTAGCATTTACAACGTTTGTTTTGGTGCAACAACTGAATTGATAACTTCAAATATATGGGAAAAAATGTAATTTGGAATTTTAACTATTCAACCAGGAGAAGCATATATATTACTCTCATATCCAGTCATGTAAAATAACACTGGCCATGCAAGATAATAAAGCCTGCTAAGTCTATCTTATATGGGCGTGGCGTCAAATTGACTAACAATGACGTGACGTCACTAATTTGGAAAAACACCGATGCCGCAAAGGCAACGTGATGAAATTAAAACCTTTTACGATATATCTACCATACACGTTAGAAAGATGAGATTATTTTTCTGCTCGGACATTGTTTGCAAATATGGGGTATCCTAAATTTTGCTGACGAATTCGTTTTCGTCAAAAGAGCTCGGGGGGAAATTGAGATATTTTCAAAACGGTACCCAGTCCAAACGCATTGTCATGGTTTCAGAGCTTATTCTGGTTGTTGGAATGAGAGAAAAATACTCTTTCATGTCCAAGGGTGTAGGATAGGGAAATTCCAAGGAAAGGGAAAGCTTCGGGTTTTACCCAATTTGAAAACCTACCTATCCTTCACCCATGGACATGAAAGAAGCTTATGATATTTGATGCAGTTTTCATATTTTACCCATTTTAAGCATGTATTAGTCACTGTTAAAACAGCCACTTTACAAAGATGATCGTTCATTATACCATTAAATTATACCAAATATATACCTTACAGTTCTAATGATAATCATACGGTTTGCGATCGAGTGTTTGATTTTGTTTGGTTATTGCATACATGTTGTGCGTCTGTGATAGGCTTTCACACACATACACCAATATTATGCACTTCCATAACCTAGAGCGGTTAATAGCTACTAAAACACCAAATATCGATTTTCTTCATGATTCATGGTATTTAGGTATATAACACACTTTATACACATACACCCATATAAGTATTGATACACATACACCTATAAGTTCTTTCCATAGCATAGAAAACGCCCACAGTAGCTGATTTAACAAAAAGGATTTAGCAATTTATCGCGAACGTCGAAGATTTTGTAACTTTTGTGATGAGATTCCTAAATGATGTAACCATTGTGTTATGCATGAGTGACTACTCGCATACACCAGAGGTAGGATTTACGATTCTCTGTAATATGCATGAGTGATTACTCGCATACACCAGAGATAGGATTTACGATTCTCTGTATTATGAATGAGTGACTACTCGCATACACCAGAGATGGGATTTACGTTTCTCTGTATTATGCATGAGTGATTACTCGCATATACCAGAGATAGGATTTACGATTCTCTGAATTACAAACCCACCCCTTTTTATAGTTTATTCACATGATAGTGATATGTCTGGTTGCTTTTTGAAAATATCTTTTCTTTTCCTGGAAATATCAATGAGTTATCGTTATTTATAACTTCAAAGTAAGGACGCTTGTAAAGAAATACATACCATGTACGTTCTCCTTTTCTCGGACCAGATAGGTAAATATATTACACGGATTATTGGGTAACATACAATACAGTTTTTAATATTCTCGCGCTAATATTTACTTTTTAGTCTCATTTGAAATAAAACACCTGTCGGCTTTGTTGCTCGACACGCCCATTATTATAAATGTTGGTTAATAAATACCAAAATTCTAGATTTTATACATTATATAACACGCAAGACAAAAATGTATGCACTTTTTTGCTGGCTACACACACTGTAATGAGTGTACACGTGTACAATGACGAGATAAGAGCACAAAAAACTCCAAATATAGCCTTACAACCACACCGAAGGAATCACTATACGGTTTGATTATAAATATTTCTATGACAAGTGGCCGTGTAGCTACGTGTAGTTCTTCATTCAAGTGCTGCGTAGGTGTGGGATATTGATCTTGTATAGCCACGATTAAATACCGGTGCTCATACTATTTCAATGAAACATATACAGTCGATTGTGTTATTTTAAATACCTTATATGACCACTATCTAATATTTGATCAATGCAAATAAAACAGCAAGATTTGAATGAGTTATTCATCAGGCAATAAAATGTGTCTTGCATTATGTACGGCTTGGTACATGTATGTGTATTACATTTTTGTGGACCTTTTAATTTTTTGGCTGAAGACACATTCACATAATCGTATATAGACAAGACTCTGTTTTCTCTGTAATAAATTTTAATAAAACCTGTTTACCTCATTAATGGCAAAAATATAAACATCATTTGGTAATTTCAAACTTTACAAATAGTTAAAATGTCAATTTTATCTCCGTTATGAGGATTTTTTAACTCATTTACTTGACTATACAATATTAATTAAGTGTTCACTTGGCATCAGTTAGCCTCATAAAGGAAGGTAACTCTTAATAGCTTAGACCCAGCAATCAGAAGGAGAACGTTATATTCTGTATATATTTATTTTTATTAAATGTATTTGTTGGATGATGTAGTTTAATTTCGAAGGTACATTCATTTTTTCACTTCACACTTGAAATATGAAGAAAGGACACATTGAAAAACTTTGAAAGTCGATAGAGAGAGACAAACAAAGTTAATATCTCTGCACTTATTGCTTGTTCCACAAATTAAATATACCCCGTATATATTGCACTTAGAAATCATTTACTTAGGTTACAGCTTGTTTAGCTTGAATATAGTTCATAACTCTTGCACACTTATCCGTTACTTATATCCTCAATGCCTCCTCCTTTATCCACTTATTTTCCCTCCGCATCCAACTTCGCAGCGAGAAAACATACACGGTTCTGAGCCTGTTCCTTATATTCCAAAATACTGTTGTTTTCCGTTAGTTGGAATGCTTCCTGTGCGTATTCTAGAGCCCTCTGTATATGTTCACGGCGATAATAGTAGTCACTCTTTGCTAGGAGGAGAGGCACCTTCAGAAATGCAGTAATTGGAATGTCCGAATCTTCGAGTTGATGCAAATACTTTCCTGCAAGTTCGACATTTTCTTGGTCTGGCGTCATGCATTCATTATAAAGACCCTTATCGCCACATCGAAGTAACAATATAATCAGTCGGCACAACGCAAATCCAATCCCGAAAGGCCCATCTTTTCCTTGATCACGTTTAAAATGATCTAGTGATTTTTGACAGCTATCTTTAGCATGTTTGTATAGATGTTCGTATACCAATGGGTAATTTGATCTGTAGGTATTCAACATGGATATTTGGACCATTATATTTTTCACATCATTCATGTACAACCAGCCGGCAGCTCGACCTGTACAACAGGTAGGGTCAGCCTCTATTATCATTTTAGCATCGTCTAGCACGTTCTGAAGTTTCCCAAGCTTTTTCTTGATGATTAGCATCCGTGTTTGACAGGTGAATAGTTCTAGTGTAAAATATTTGGGATACTGAGTCTTTTGTGCTAGTTTAAGTCCAGATTTTATATAGGTTTTAGCAGAATATACATCCGCTGTATGTAAGAACCTGCTGGCGAACAAATAGTCTAGAATACACATCATGTCTACGTTACTGCCTTGACTATGTCGGATATTGACAGCGCACGCCTCAAACTCTTTGTACGACCCTTGGTTGATTAGAGTACTGAGATAGTTGAATACAGTCTCTTGACCGTTACCACGTAGCTCGAAGGACTGTTTTAATAATTGACAGTGAGATGTATCAAGATGTATATACTTTGAAGTCTTATATGAGGATGATTGATTTCTATGTCTTTTGCGATGAATCCTTGTACCATGCTTTCCAATTACTTTAACGTTTTCTTGATTCTCTAGGCAAATGGCCAAACAGGTATCTGGTTGATGAACCATTGAATACGATGATAGAACACGACATTTTGAATGAGAACATTTTGTCTGCCAAAATCGGGTCTGAACTGAGCGTGTCCTGTCGAGTTGAGTTTTCCCCTTAAAGTTCAGTTCTTTGAAATTGTTGTTAACTTCTTCTATGCTGTTGGTTAAGACATTGGACTTTTGGACGGAATGGGTTGATAAAACAATTCCGTTTGTTTGACTTCCAAAACCCTGTGTATCCCTGTATGGTGCGTAGGATACGATGGTCTCTCATCGTTGATGGGAGAACTTCTCAAATGAAGAGAGCCTTCCGAAACTTCTTTATTGACGTTATCTAGCATGTCAGTTATGAAACTATATTTCCTTCTTAATGATTCTGTGAAAACTGTCGAAACGTAACTTTTCGCGCACTGTGATAATTTACTTATTAGAACAACGCATCGGTCTTTCCGGGTGTTTTCTGATTTTATCAATTCACAGTCGTTCCTCTCTAATATAGCCTCTTGGTAGAGCAAGTCTAATAAATCGCTAGCTTCTACATTCTGTAATACCATGCAGCAGGACTTATGTAGTACATTCTGTAACGCTGGGCTGGCAATGTTAGCAGGCATATAAGGTTGACACTTGGCACATATTCCAATACTCCCGAAATGGTAAGGGCTGTCTAAACATGCATCTTTTACCTTGCCATTACTTGATGTTGTTTCAGACAACAACTTCTCTAAATGTGAATAACCGTGTTTAAGAGCGTTTTTGAAGGAATTGTATGCGACTGGACCACGAGAGGGGAGAATTCCCAATAGCATCCAGCATCGTTCCTTCCGGGTTTTACCCGTGTCGATCAGTTCATGATCACTCTCAGTGAGTACGCCATCTTGATGCAAGTGATCAGATACATCTTTGGGATCCAACTGATCCATTATACTGACATGGTTCCTTCGAAGGGCCTCCTTTTGGCTGCTGTACATGATCAACACATACCTGAAATAAGGTAATATTTCTTTAAGTTCTTATGTCTATTGTATCAAATGTCCAACATTTTAAACCCCCTTTGGCTATATGTAGAGAATTGTATTAGCATAGAACATATACAATAGTTAAAACGTTATCACTCTATAATTGCAATCAATTACTAAGCAAAAGCGTTTTAAACAATTTCCCTTTTCATAATATCTCAGATTGTTTTCTGTTTGCCAAACCAATTTAAATGTAAATGTAAAATTATCTTCTATTTTCCCCCTTACTTTGTACAAAAATGTTTGGTTGGGTCTTTACGTTTTAAACCCTTGTTTAATATTAACAATGTTCATTTTCATATTTTATCTTCTTTGAAGAACTTCAATTATGTTTTTGTCAGTTTAGTATTGGAATCAATAGACACATTCTCGACAGCACATCCAGTCCACCCAACTCAAACAGGACCTTATCGTAAATTCAATTCAATTCACCACTTTGAATTACTTCATAAAATGTTAAATGTGATGACAATAACATCATGATACAACGTAAATGACAATGGAGTATCACATACAAGGAAATTAGTTCACCACGTTATGATTAGTCTGTTGGTGATGTTTAACCCTTCGCCTCTTTTTCGATTTTCCTTTTGACACGTTCCCTACTGCATTTACGTTCTTTGTAAAGCACATCTACCATCAATATACTAACCATTCTGGTTACTTTGAAATCTATGAGGTATTTTATACTTCAAATTGGTTAATTGTTTCGAAAATTAGCACATTACCTTACCTTGTCAGGTTGGCACACTATGGACATATCCTAGTTCCTTATACGGGTTTCCGTGTAAGTGTGACCTCAGCATGTGATTTGCTTATTATAGCCATTTGGAATTCAAAAGAGTTCTGGGGCCAGTTGCTCGAACGTTCATTTAAAGTTAATGATGGATTAAACNGATTTTGTGCATTGTTCCACGGATCTATGTCAGTGCAACGCTTGTTCTTTACGCAACCGCCTACCTTTTGTTACAAATTCTGACAATAACTAGATTAGATATCGATCTTCATGTAATGTGTGATTGACACGTTTCGACAGCGTAATTTAAAACCTACAACATGTACATCATGTCTATTTGTGATTCCAGTTCGTTTCTGTTTCTTAGTTTCTTTTAACCACATTTTGAATCAGATCTAGATAGCCAGCATGTATTGTTTTATGCGGAGGAATATACGCCCTAATTACGTCCAGTATCTTGTACTTTGTTCATTCTTTAAATGAAATTTAAGAGTTATATAAGTGTATTTTAAACACAAGTGTACACACATAGCTGTTTGGCGATACCTACACACCCCATTCGTGTAATCCATTGGTGTGCATGCGTTAAATGGACTACAAGCAGTTATCAAATAGTCACAAATTAACCACAACACAACAATTCAATTAATTTTATCTTTAATACTAATGTCTTGGCAAGTTATTGTCGTGGGATATAAATATATATAAGAATATTTGGAGTGACCAGTGGGAACAAAGAATCACCCAAATTAACTTTCCAGCTAACTATAAAATTGATATGCATCAATTTATCATTGAACTGTGCTAAAGAAACAGGTGATCTGAAATGTTATGCCAGACAGTCCTCAACATGAAATACTCTCCATTAAGATCCTGCTCACCAGTCCCATGTGCTCTTCTCTAAGCAGCACACAATATACCACGACGTTAGAATGAGCGATCATCATCTGTAAAAAGAAAAACTGGCGCCAGAAAATATTCTAATCTAATTTGGTGGGTGGGAGGGTAAAATTTTCAATTGTCCTTAGTCGGAAAGCCTGCCGCATAGGTATGTTCTAGAAAAAGGAAGTTCTGTTACGGCGCCTAATAAATTAAACGGATACTATAACATGACTGTAAACAATAACCGGATCCGCACTTGCATTCCGCACTAAAACATATACTTAAAAATATTTTTGGCTTTGTGATAAATTGTTTGAAAATATAATTTTAAAACTTACTATTCACGCATACAATAACTTAGGTGCGGTCCCCAACATACGTTTAAAAAGAGGATTTGTTTGACCTGCTACACCTAGTGTTTTCATGTCACAGTACTCGCTGGACAATTAAATTAAAGTACGGTGATTTTTTCAATTAAATTCCATCGCATTCTTTGCGTTCAATCCAGGCCATGGACTTGTAGGGTTTTTTCACCAATATCTCAAACATAAAATGAAGATTTCCCGTCCCTTTGAATTAGTTTTCATCTGTGTATATTGGTTTTTAAATCGCTATGGATGTAACTCCTAAATTTTGAAAAATAAATATATGAAAGTAATCATCACATTTCTAAGTTAGCTTGTGTGTATATGTCAGAGGAACAGTTGTCTCTATAGTGGAAGACGACGACGACGATGACGACGACGCCGACGGAGACGATGACGGAGACGACGACGACGGAGACAACGACGGAGACAACGACGACGATGTCGTCGGTGATAAAAGTACGTGAGAAAGGTCATTTCTCTGTATCTTTCTTATACTGTCTTGAACTAGTTCATTTTCCACTCTGTCATTCTAAACAAATCCATTCAATTCGTCATCAAGGATTGTTACTTTCTTTAGAAATTAAACAAATAAACATAGAACATTCAAAATCAGCATTATCTTATACAGCACATTCCAGGTGGAGTTTAAAAGGATCTAGTAGTCTATTGATCACATATAAACTTTACAGAATGAAAATCAATAACTTCGTGTGAGTAGTGTTCTGCAAAAGATCAGCTTCCATGTTGCCTTCATCTTAACTGATCCATAGGTTTTAAATGTTCTAAATCATCGCCGATGTTAACTATTTATGTTGTGTTAAACTTGAGAAACCATTAAGCTTTCATATCAAACCAGGTGTTTATCGAATGTCAACAAGCATATGAAACGGTAAGTTCCACATTCCACATAAATGGCGTCATTCTGATTTTTCCAGTACTATTGAATCTTGTTATTTTCTGGACATATGCAATAAGACGACATCTTTATACTCAGTACCATTAGCACACAGTTATCCTATTTTATCGTATACTTTTATATCAGATATTTCACTCACCTTTTACCCGGTCTGTCACCACTGCTCTGGTACATAATGTAAATGTAGCTTGTGTATTCCCCCAAAAAAATGTTATAACTTTTATAGAAGTGCGTAAGTGAAATGAATATTTGGTTGATTGACTTATTGATTGATTGATTACAAGTACATAGCTTGTACTGCTCCTCGTTGAGTGGTTTCACCAGTTCATCATTTCTCAGCTGCAAAGCATGAAATTCGTCGTTTTTGTGCCTGTTAAAAATAGACCTGATACCATCAGAAATTAAATGCATTGAAGGTAATGAAATTTGAAAACTCTACCTCTACAAAGAATATCAAAGTGGATTCGAAAAATCATAATATTTGAGGAATTGTCATCATCTAATAGTCCGAACGTGATGGACCTATAGGCCGTTGGAACTAAAACAGTCCCCACAAATTGTCTCCATATTGTCGTTCAAATGTAATGTCAATTGATACGCATGCACACGAACGCGGAAGTGAGGAAGGTTGCTTATTCTGACGACTGTTTTTTTTTTTGTTCTATTTTGACAAGCGCTATAGGCCGCACAGTTGCAAAATGATATAGAACCAGTAAATAGAATACGACTGAAACACTAACAACAAGAACCAGTAAATAATGACATATACATCTGTGTCATCAATACTTACATAACTGAAAAAAGTATTCTTAGTCTAACGCGGGAAACTAATCACTGATGATGTTTTTCAATTGAGCTCTGCTATTTTTTCTACCACGCGCACCCGGTGCATCTCCCTTGGCCGAATATAAACTCGATTGTTGTTGCTATATTCCTCCGTACGTCGGGGGATATCTTAGGTTGAATAATTTAGTTCAACCGAAAATCCAGGCCGAAGTGAAGAAACTATTTTCATCAAATAGATAATTTCTATATTTCTCTGGTGAAAATGTTATAAATCAATATCACATCGGCAGTAAAATAATTGTTTCCCTTGCCATTGTATTGTCGATGGGCGAAGGGAAGTAACTTTTCATTGATTAGACTGCCAAACCAACAGCATAATATTAAAAAGATTTAACAATACCAATATGACCCGAGTATTCAATAACAAGATGTTTACATCAAATCATTTTCTCGTGAAATTGTGAAATTTCCAGCATGTAATATGGTTGTGTATTCATTAAAAATAGTTTTTATATTCATCTGTTATCATTTCGAATACATACTACACCAACAAATAACAACTGTAAAACTCGAAACAATACACTTTGTAAAATCTCAGTAATACTAATTGAGCATTTTATAACAAGGTGACATATGACATAATCAACACTTAAACATTGTGGAAACCATACTGGATAGTTTTGACAAAAAGGCTGTTACATTCGTCATTTGATAGTAGGGTAGCCGAATGTTGTTGAGCATCATTTGATAGTAGGGTAGCCGAATGTTGTTAAGCAGCAATTGATAGTAGGGTAGACGAATGTTGTTGAGCATCATTTGATAGTAGGGTAGCCGAATGTCACATCCGTCATTTGATAGTAGGGTAGCCGAATGTCACATTCGTCATTTGATAGTAGGGTAGCCGAATGTTGTTGAGCATCATTTGATAGTAGGGTAGCCGAATGTTGTTGAGCATCATTTGATAGTAGAGTAGCAGAATGTTGTTGAGCATCAATTGAAAGAGACAAGTTATTGAGTTTGACTGATTACGGAGTTGTATATTTCAAATATCGATGATTCTGTAAACACATTAACATTATGAGAGTTTGGTAACATTTCACAGAACTAAAGTAATATTCACCTTAGGCATGATTTGGACAATTGTAACTTCATGGTGTTCCCTGTCGAGTTCAGATATGTACCTCGGTGGAATCGTCATTTCTGGTATTATCTGATGAATACGTAACACAACTTGGGCCTATTCGTCCAATCGGTTGAATCGCGATAAACGAAAACGGCCCAGCTGAGTATTCCTTGTCTTAAAGATTAGCCAAGGGAAGTAACTCTTTGTAGCATAGCCTTCAAATAAACCCGGGTATTTATCATTATGGGCTTGGTATCATTGTTTTGTTCACGTTTGTAGGGAAATGTACTACTGCATGATCGTAAGGGGCGACATCCAAATAAATCCAAGACTCGAAATCTGTATTCCTTTCCTTTTTCTTTTTACAAATTGATCTTCCAGGTGTCGTGCTTGGTGTATACTTATCCTTTGCCAGTTTTCTCCCTTGTGCCGACCGTTAAATGAATATCTAAAACAGATACATATCAGGTACTGCATACTAGTAGTAAAACACAACGGCATGCATGCTATGAATACGAAGCTGTTCAAAAAAGTGTGTTATTTGATATGTCATATTATAGACAACATTCAGAGAGATTGTCAGGGAGGTTGTCCGCATCACCCGCTCTCTGAACTGAAAGCTGTGATGATCAATTTATTGAAATATGACATATCATAACTGTTATACCTTGTAGTTTGCAGTTCTGTTTTCTATTAAATATAGTTTCAAACAACACATATATCTACATGTAGGTGTATAATTGTTCTTTGATAGACAGATAGTATTATAATTAATGAGGTGTAATTTCACATTGTATATTGTTATGTCATGTGTTTTTTTCTAATATTCTGTTTCAAAATTATTTGTCATTTAAAGTGGACAGTTGCTGAACTTTCATGTGATATCTGAGAATAATTTCTTCGCAAATGACGAAATACATCTACGTATATGAATGTAGATAGCATGTATATATATGTTTCGATCATATCCGCATGTGAACCGCAA